CCCAGTGATTCCTCCTGCGCGCTGGAGGGGAGGAGAAAGCGTGCGCGAGAGGCGCCGCGCCGAGAAGAACGCGCGCGAAGAACACGTGGGACACTGCGTTGGCGCAGCTTTCAGCGCAAGTAGCCCCGGCCCGCGTCCGTCGCCGACCTGGCGAGCTCCAGGCTCCGGGCGCAAAGGCTGCCCTCCTTCTTCGAGACGACCGGGGCTCCTTTCATTCCTTCGGGGGGGGGGGCCGCGAGGGAGGGGGGGGGGTGGGGGGGGGAAGGGCCGCGTGGGTTGGAGGGAGCACTGAGGGGGCGGGGGGGGGCGCGAGGATGGGGCAGGGACGCGGCGGGAGAGGGGGGGGGGCGCACGACGGGGAAGGGCCGCGGGGGAGTGACCGCAGATGGGGTGCCAGAGGCGGGCGCGGAAAGGAGGCTGCGGGGGGAAGGGAGGCCGCAGAACGGGGACTTCGGGGCAAAGTCCGCAGGGGAAGACCGCGGCGGTGGAGGGACCTCGGGGGGGCAACCACGGCGCAGGGCGTTGCACCTATAGCTTTTCTTCGCCGACGAGCCAGGGGTGAGGTGTCCATCCGCACCACGCTCGCAGGGCGAGGAAAGCGTGACATTTCTTCGCCGCCAGAAAGAGTGCGCAAGGGGAGGAGTGCGCAAGGGGTGCGGTCTCCATCCGTCCCGCGCTCGCAGCGCGTGGCGGGTTTGGCATTCCCTCGCCACCAGAAGGGGTATGCAGAAGTTGCGGTCTTTATCCGTCCCATGCTCGCAGGGCGCGGCAGGCTTAGCAATCTCTCGCCACCAGAAGGGGTGCGCAGGGGGTGCGGTCTTGGGGCGCCTCACCGAGCCACGGCACCATCAAACAACGGCTCGGGATGACAAGCTGATCCCCGGGGAATGGTCGAGAGATCGGGGCCCGTGCTTTGAAAACCAAGACGCAAGATGTGTGGGACCCCAGCTGCGGGGCCCCAGTGGGAGGGGGGCAACCGCACGCGCTGCAGCCCACAGCGGTCAGCGGGTACGACTGCACTTATTGCAGTAGGAACAAACGCACAGCGGTTCTGCAAACCACCCCATGCACGGAAGTCCCTGGAGCCCCTGAAGCTGGAGACCAGGGTGCGGAAACACCCGCATCCCAAATGGATTCTTTTCTCGCCGCAGGGAGGCACGGGCGTCGGACATATGGCATGATTGCTTTGCGAATCCGTGGGGGTCACGCATGCGGTCGTCTTGGTGGCCATGGCGATGCAGTGGGTCTAGGAGGAGGGGGAGGGGGAGGAGGAGGAGCAGGAAGGGGAGGAGGAGGAGGAGGAGGCGGAGGAGGAGGACGAAGGGTACAACGGGAAGCGGAAGCAAAACGAGGAAGAGGACGGGCACACTTAAGATGATGATGATGATGATGATGATGAGGAGGAGGAGGAGGAGGAGGAGGAGGAGGAGGAAGGATACAGAGCTCAACGACGGCGGCGTCCCAGTCGCGAGCTTGGGCCTCCTCCCGGAGGTGCAGACTGCCGTCATGAAGAACTTCACCCAGTACGACGAGTACCAGCAGCACTACGACATCTTCATCATCAGCAGCACCGTCGCTTTCAGCAACCTTGGGCCCATGGGTGTTTTCCCAGAGCCGGATGTCCACGACTCCGGTTTCCAGGCCATGTTCTTCGACGAGATCTCGGAGTCGGCAGGGGCCGACACTGATGTCTTGACGGAGGCGTTCGGGGCCCACTTCCTGACGAACGCCAAATACCTTCCTGCGACCTCGGAGTGGGCAAATTCCGATGTTCAGACCGTTACTCAATTCATGCATGGGCCAGCCTCGGGCGAGGGCTTGGCCACACCGACTTCGACTTGGGACGCTGTGGGATTGGCGGACCTCGTCGGCTCCGACCCCGCACCCAGCAGCCCCTGCTGCCACACTGTCGGCATCGCCGCCGAGATCTGGCTGTCGTTCGTGGCCTTCCTCGGCCTGTACTACTTCTTCGTGACGGCCTTCTTCCGGAAGCCGAAGGGAAGTCCGACACCCACGCCTCGCCCACGCCGGGGCGTCGATCAGGGAGTACAGCATCCTGATGATGCACGTCTTTTCCAAAGAAATTCTGAGGGCATTTCATCCTTACAGTCTTTGGAGTTGGATCCTGAATTGATGTATCATGCCCCCTTGAGGGGAGCGGCCTCAAACCTTCTCGGCGGCGGTCGCACCAAGGACATCAAGAACGAGCGCAGCACGGACCTTCTGGAGGGCATCCGGAAACTCCTGGACATCCACACGGCCGCGCTTCAGCAGCACCCGGCCGCCACGAACCACTCCCACCCCAAGCGCAAGCCGAAGCCGACGCCTCACGACGCCCTCAGAGGCGCCCTCGGCAAGGCCAAGTGTGACCAGGGACTTCTGGGCAAGCTTCGGTCCATCCTCCCGGCCGTGGACGCCGGCCACATCACCCTCGGGGACAACGAGGCACCCCCGAAAGGATCTCGGCGAGGCGCAGCTGACGGTGGCAGAGGGTGTGGCGGCGACGCCTCGGCTGGCAAGGGCTCCCGCTCTGAGCAGCCCCCTGCGCCCACGGTCGCGCCCCATCGTCCAGACACAGCATCCGCCCATGGAGCTGGCAAGGGCAAGGATACCGGGCCACCTTGGGCCCTTTCCCAACGCGAGTGGTCCAAGGCCACCGTCTCCAAGCAGGGGTTCGTGTTGGCCAAGCTGAGGAACGGGGAGTTCCCGTCTGCTGGCCAAACTGCCTGCTTCGCCGAGTCGACGGACATGGCCGACGAGATGTTGGCCCTCTGGCGTGCGCACCACCAGAACGACACAGACGCCTCCTTGACAGTGGCCGTCGTGGCGACCAAGGAGGACTCCTGGCTGCCAGACGGGGCCACGGGCATTTTGGCGCACCTCACTCTCGCGAAGCTGGACAAGCAGGCCGTGAAGCTGGTCAAGTACATCATGCTCGGCAAAGCCGCGGAGCCCCTGCGAGCCCGACCATCAAGGATGTCAAGCAGGTCCCGAAGCGGCAGGACGCCGTCACGGTCCGGTTCACTGTCTTCGCCGATTACCTGTCGGACAAGCTGTCGCTGTTTTCCGCGAGCCAGGCCCTCAAGGCGGTGTGGCCCGCAGCAGGTAAGGGCATGCTGTTCGGTTGTTGGCGTCCCAATGGCACGAAGGGCAAGGATCCCGACTCGTACACCATGTACGTCGCTGGCACGCCGGCCCAATGCAGCGATCTGTTCAAGATCAGCGGCAAGCGCGGCGTTTTCGTCCAGCACATGGCGTCCTTTCGTGACCAACGCGATCGGACGACTGTGGCGTGGGTCGCCCGGCCTGCTGGGCTCACGCCGCTCGAGTACCGCGACCTGGCCCTCCAGGAGGGTAGTGGCAAACCACTCGTGCACGGAATCGGGGGTGGCCCTGATCTGGGCTACGAGCGCGAGGGCGTTGACGCACGACGGTGTCCTCCGCACATCTGGCGAGCTACCACGCCGCGGTGGTGGCGCACGACCGACCTCGAGTCCTTCCTGGAGGCCAACGGCTGGCAGCAGGTGCAGGTCCTCACGCACCTCAGCCCCGGCTCCTGGCGCGTCCGCGCGGGCGCCCGGCTGCTGGCAACGACCACGTACAGATACGAGGCAGGCTTCGACGAGGACATGGGCCACGTCACCGTCCTTCCCCTGCCGCGCAAGGTGAAGTCCACCAGCGAAGGACGTACTCTCAGACGGCCGGACTTCCCGTGGCTGGACACGGAGGTCCCGGCAGCCCCGCCGCAAGGCGATGCCCCCGCCCCGCCCGTGGGTGCAGCGGCTGCGGCGGGCGATCCCCCTGGCGAGGGTGATGCGCCCATGCCCGCGGCAGCGCCAGCGGCGCCCCCTGCTACGGGCAAGGGCGCTGACCAACAGACGAGGCCAGGAACCCAAAAGACGGACGGGTCTAAGAGGCTCAAGCTGGACGACAAGCAGATCGTGCGGGACGCGAACTGCCTCTGGGACGGCATGGAGATTGTGGAGGCCGGGGGCCGTGGCGCGTGCGGCTACTGTTCCATCGTCGCCGCCGGGAAGCTCACCCGCGACGCCTCCTTCAGCACTGCTGCCGTCGGCGCCATGGAGAAGATCTGGGTCGACGCGGGCACGCTGAGGGTCCAGACCGCCCAGCTCTTGAAGAAGAACTCAGACGTCTAGAAGCCCTGTTGGGCCCAGGACCCCAAGCATATTTCACACACAGGCCATACCTTCGACGAGTACGTCGCGAAGTGCTCGGCCCCAGAGTTGTGGATGGACGAGTTGCAGCTCAACGCAGCGTCCGCCAATCTCAAGCGCTAGATAACGGTGGTCTATCGCGACGGCAAGCAGGGCTGGGCCAGGCGCGCAGTGGGCCACCAGCACAAAAGCAAAGGTTGGTTCGTCCTCCTCCTGGACGAGAGCCACTACCGAGCAGTCCGGCCGCCAACGGACGGATTCCCAGCGAACCTCTGCGAGGACGCGGGCGCCCCCATGTCCAACTTCGGGCGAGGAGGGGGCCGGGCCTTCAGCTGGCTCACGGACTCCCCCCAGGGCTCCGCCGCGACGCGGACGAGCCGGAGGCCCAGCAGACCTTTTTCTTCGGCGCCGCCGCCGGGCCGCTGTGCTCGGACAGTGGCCGCCTCCGCGGCCATCCAGGAGTTCGAGACCTATCTTTCCTCCTTCTTGCACACGTACCTTGCGAGGGAGCTTGCGGACGACGTCAAGCGGCTGCTCGAGCAGACGGTGGGTGCCCGCAGGCGCTGGGCTTCCCAACGCCAGCACGCCACGCCCGCCACAGTCGAGGCCCAGCGCGTGATGCTGAACAGGGATACGGAGGACCTCCGGAGGAAGTACCACTACCCTGGCGACCTCTAGGCCTGCCCGTGCGGGTGGCGGGCCAAGAGCACTCCGGCCGCAGCCCGTACCAACGCGCGGCATGCCGAGCGGCATTGGTGTTTTTGCCAGCCCGGCGCTCGGTGGGAAGCCTTGGATGATGCTTGGCATCAGGCTTCTTTGGCTCCAATGCGTGATCCTGCCATCCAGGATCGCAAGGTAGCTAAAGCATGGGAGCGTCACCAGACGCTGCGTGCCAGCACGCCAGCGTCGATCGCGCGGTGCGCCCACGACCTCGACGGCGCTACGGCGCAGAAGCTCCGCCGGGCCAAGGGGGGCAAGTCTACCTTCTACACGTGCCGCCGGTGTGGTGGCTCGTACGTGCTTGCCTCCGTGTGGAAGCTCCCGTGCCCAGCCATTCCCCCTGCTGACCGCCCCACTTGCGTCGGCTTCGAGCTGCAGTGCCGGGGCGCTGGGTCAGCGAGGTCTTCGAAAGCCATGGCCGTGGGCACGGCCAAGGGCACCATGTTGGTTGTCGTCATCTACGCCGACGTTCACAGCCAGGAGCAAAGACAGCGCCTATGTGCTGCGGTTGCCGCACGCGTCGCTGCCGCCGATATTATTGCAGTTGTTTTGGGGGATTACAGCTGCGAGCCCATGGACGAGGAGACCGCGTCCTTCGCTGGCAGTCTCGATTGCGCGCACCATTGCCTCCCTGAAGGAGAACCTGTGTGGCACCACACCCACGGCGACCGCTTCATCGACTACGCCGTGTGCAGGCACCTCGTCGTCAACACCTTCGGCACCGACACGGCCATTAGTGACCACAAGGCCATCGCTTTCAGCGTGCAACGCGAAACGGAGGCTCTCGTTCAGACAATTCAGCGTTTCGTTCCTCTGGAGCCCCCGGCCAACCTGGAGGAGTGGGACAGCGACTGGAAGGACCAGATGCACTATTTCGAGGGCGCCTGGGACGCGGCAGAGGCAGCACGCGATCCAGCACATCTCTGGGAGCTGTGGTGCGACCTCCTGGAGGCGTCGTGCGGCGTGCCCCCGGAGCGCAGGCATCGTTGACGAGGCACTGCGCTGCGCCGCTGGCAGCGGGTTTGGCGTGGCTGCCACGGCCAGCGCCAGAGTGTTCAAGAACGACTGCTTCACCGTGTTCTTCGTCGCCTACACCACCTTCTGCACGGTCCCCGGGCTCGCGGCGATGCTGGAGGGGGACGGGGAGGACGAGGAGGAGGACGACGAGGACGAGATGACGATCACGATCTTCTCCAGGCCATCGACAAAGGTCTGCAAGGCTTGGTCCGGGACGGCATCCTACCGAGCATTGGGGACAGCAGTCCAGCTGCCGCCGCCGCGGCCATGTCAGCTAAATTGGAGCAGCTCCACGCCGCCCACGAGGAAACCCGACTCCAGGAGTGGCGCCGCCGACAGCAGGAGGGAAACATGAAGGCCATCTACACCTACGTGTCTGGGAAGACGACCAAGCCTACAGCTGCCGCCCGGGACACCACGGGACAATTCTCTGGGGGCACCGCAGGACAACTTTGCGCGGACCCTTCCGCCGTCGTGGCCGAGGCCGTCCGGCAGTGGAACAGGAAGCAGCACCCCGCCCCGGCTGGCAACCGCATCAACGACTACATCGACGAGGTCAGAGAGTTCGTCGACACGATCGCACCGCCGGAGGCCGAGTGGACCTTCGAGAGTCCCAGCCTGCGCCAAGCCTTCCGGTCCATGGTGGGCGCTGCGGCAGGGCCGACCCAGATCCCGGCGGGCCTGCCGGCGCGGGCGCCACGAGTCGCCCTCGAGCTGCTGGGGCGCATCGGCGATCTCATCCGTGACACAGGGAGGTGGCCGAGCGCTCTGAGGAGCCAGGAGGTGGCCATGATCCCCAAGCCTTCTGGGGAGGGCCTTCGCCCGATGGGGGTCGCGCAGACAGTCGCCAGGGCCTTCGAGAAGATTATGGTTCAGAAGTACAAGCGCTGGGCCGAGCAGGTGCAGCCCACCAACGCCACCACTGCCGTGCTTCTCGTCGATTTCGCCATCGACAAGGCCTACGAGGACGACGCCGGCCTCGTTGTCCGGCAGAGCGACCTCGGCAACTGCTTCACGCGGCTACAGACCGAGCTCGTCATGCAGGTGGCCGGTCTCTTCGGCATGCGTGACAAGGACGCCGTGTTCTTGTTCTCCGACAACAGTGCCCGCAACATTGTCGTCAAGGTTGCGGGGTACGCCAGCGGCTCCATGGTCCCGGAGCGTGGCCTCGCGCAGGGTGACCCAGGTTCGCCGCTCGGGGCTGCCATTCTTGCCGGGGCGCACGCCGGGCGACTCGCCGCGGACCACGACATCATGTTCACTACGTACGTGGACGACAGGATTATGATTGCCGACACCCCGCAGGAGGTGGAGTCGGCCGCCGACGCGCTCGCCTACCTCGACTGGTTCAGCGGGCAGGGGGAAGACCCTGGTAAGTTGGCAGTGGCCGCCGCCAAAGTCCAGGGCGGCAACTACCAGAGCTACGTGGACGTCCTCGGCGTCCGTCTGGACCTCTCTGGGGCGAACCCTCCAGAGGCTGCCCCGCGGGCCCTGCGCCGGGTCCAGGAGCTGCTCGCGCGGCTCACGAGGATCCAGCGAATCAGCCGGGCGGCTCGCCTGCCACGGCGCCGGGTGCGGCAGGTCGTCCTGGCCAACGTCGGCATCTTGCGCTGGGATGCGCCGTGGTGCGTCCTGCCCGACAAGACCCTCCAGGCCCTGCGGGCAGCCTTGGAGACAGCCCTCGCAGGGCGGCGCCGGTACGCCTCCTGGAGACACCGAGGGGCCGCATGGAACGTATCTCCCAAAGCGTGGAAGATCGAGCCAACGGGCGTGGCGTTGCACGCGGCCGTGGGCATGCTCAAACGCACCCTCGGCGGTCCTCTGGAGGCCTTCGTCCGCCAGCGGCGGAGGCCGGCCCACCCAGCAGCTCGCCCGTCAGCTGGATGGCTGTTGCGGACCCGCGAGCTCTTGGATTCCATGGGCTGGCGCACGGCCAGTGACCCATTCGAGGTGGAGATCGGCGACCTGACCTTCTCTCTCACGAACACGACCCGCAGTGGGCTCGACCACGTGGCGCGGGAGGCCTGGCGCTCGTGGATGATGAAGGCCGGCGAGGCGAAAGTCAGCAGGCAAGACGTGGTCAACATCCCCAGCCTTGATGGGAAAGTGCTCCGGGGTTTCCTGGACAGCTACGACAACGGTCCAGATCACAGCTGGGCCTGGCGGTGCGTCGTCGGGGGCGAGCCCAGCCCAGACCGCCTCCACCACGTCGACAACGCTGTGGCCCAGGACTGCGCCGCGTGCCGCACCAGAGCCACCACGAGACACATCCTCTGGCAGTGCCCTGCCACCGAAGCAGTCAGACACAGTCGTGGCCTACGTCTGCCAGAGCTCGCCCCGGAGCTCCCCGAGCCTGAGCGTTCAGCCCTTCTGCTGAATGGGTGGATCCGCGCAGCGTTTGACGTCCCCGCCGGCGTGTCCAGCGACGTTCACGCTGCTGCCGCCAGGCGGCGGCGCCAGCTTGCCAATCGCACTCTCGCATGCAAGTTCGTGGTCCTGCGTCCACATTACGATCGTTTTCTCGCCGCCGTTTCTGGTGAGGCCTAAGGTGTGCTCTGGTGGGGTGTAAGACCGTGCTTCGCACCGACATCTTGCCTCACCCTCCACACCTGCCAGGAGGAAGGATACATCGGATGATGTGGAGGATGAAAAGGGGCGGGGGGGGAACCAGAATCGGCGTGCCCCCAACATACTAATACTATGCGTGCGTCCCCCCCCCCCAGGGGCGACGCGCGCGCCGAGAAACCTTGTAGTGTGAGTTCCGTGGCGGGTGCTTTCTGGTCATACGGCTCTGGAAGCGATGTGCTACAAGATGCTCGTACAGATGTTCGGATGGACGCACGCCTGCGAGGAGAACGCATAATTCTGGTATTTCCTTGTGCGTCCCGCAGGAGGGCCCGAGTGTGAGCGGAAACGGCGAGAACGAAGATCGGCAGCCGCCCCTGCCAGCTCTGAGCCAAAGGTGTGTCAACGGGGCATCGCTGCGGGCGCCGTCTTGCCCGTGGCGAGAGGCGAGCGCCCGACAGCGGTCGCTGCCGCTGTCTTGGCACCGTCTCCACGTCTTCAGCAGGCACATCCAGTGAGGAGCTGGCCTGCCAGGAGGTGCCCCCACGGAGATGTCCGTCGGCGGCGAGCGAGGGGGGGTGGAAGTGATACGGAGAAGGCCTTCCCAGAAGGCGGCGGTCGGCGTCTGCGGGGAAGGCTCAGTAGAAAACTTGTCAGACGGCCCGAGGCTTTCCGAGAATTCTGAGAATGCCCGCACCTTGTGACGTCCCCCTGGGCCCGCCGCCGATCTGCAAGTGCATCCAGTGACGAGCCAGCGTGCCAGAGGTGCCTCCCACGGAGATGTCGTATCACATGGGTTACCAGAAGCCTCGGGGGGGCCCTGAAGAAGTCCGCAGATCTCTTGCAGTGGGATCTCTTCCCGTGTGCATGCGGTGTCAGGCTACTGCGTGCCGCAAGTTGGCCTCTGGGCATTTGGCGAAGGCGCCGTGCTCAAATGCCCTGGGCGCGACAGTCTTCTTACATGATTGAGTTGGCTTTGAGATCTTTTTCTGCACAGAGTTGTTCCGAGTTCCCCGTCACACGCGTCCAAGGAGGAGGCAGGCCGCCGCTGGCGAGCGGCAGGCCGGGGCGCGTGCCTTCTGCGCGGAGGCCAGCGCGAGCAGCGTGAAGGTGCGCTACGCCTACGACGGTTCCGAGGCAGACGTCGCGCTGCCAGACGTGCGCGCAAAGGCCGCCGTGAGAAGGAGGAGTCAGAGGAGGAAGAGGTAGCCATACCGCTACCCTTGCCTCGTTTTCCCCTTTTTGGGCCTCCTGGGGGGCCCTCGTCACCACCGCTGGATTCGCCTCGAGATCCTGGTCAGAACGCACCCCAGGAGAGGGTCGTGGAGTAGCAGTATCGGTACCTCTATGTTTCCCCAATGAGCACGGGAGCTTGCCAGTTTCACACCTATCCCGATCCCTATGTTTGGCATCACCTTACCTTGGTGCCGATCTTAAGAATTCCCTCAATTTCTGAGGGCACATCCTTGAGATTGCCATCGCCCTTGGGATTGTCAATCTTAGGGATAGGGATAAGTGCGAGGATGGTTAGGTGTGGGATGTTAGGGCTTCGGGTTGCGCGCCGACAGCCCCGCCAGGAAGTGCCAGCCGGCCTCGACCGGACCCCCCGTCCTACGTGGCTTCAACAGGCCCCCTGAAAAGCCCGGGGCGGTCTCAACACCCTGGCGTCGACTCTGGCGGCGCGTCCGGGGCGCTCCGCGCTCCAGGGCTCTCGCCTCCGAGCTTTTCGAGGCCTCCCGCCCCGCGGAGATCCGTTCGAAGGCCGAGCAGAAGAGAGGATGAGGAAGAGGAGTCGGAAGAGAAGAGATAGATGAGGATAAGGAGAAGGAGAAGAGGAGGAATGAAGGAGAAGGGGGGGGATGCAAAAAGTGAGGAAGGAGGGGGAGGAGGAGGACTATGCGGATGATGATGATTCGGATGGTGTGTGATGATGGGTGGACGAGGAGGCGGAGGAGGACGAGTCGGCGGATGATGAGGAGGCGGCGGGGCATGTGCAGGAAGAGGATGGCGAGAGGATGAAAAGAGGAGGAGCCAGTTATGGTGAGAGATGACGGCATGATCCAGAAGGTCCGCAGAGGTCCTGGGGGATTGGGGGGGCAGAGTCTGGAGGCCAGAGACTGGCCGACTCCAAATCAAGAGCCATTGGAAATCTGCAACCTCGATCATCAAGCGTCAATCGGGAAACTCAGTATCTACACGACGAGGGTTGTGGAGGAGGAAGATCTAGACGAGGACGAGGGGGAGGACAGGTGGTGTGACGGTGGTGTGCAGTTGGCAGCCCCCAGGGATGCGGGATCCACTTTTGGTGCCTTTAGGACGTCGCCCCGCTGGACCTCCCAGGAGCTCACACAAGTGGCGACGGGTGCGCAGCCGGCAGCCCGCAGGGAGGCGTGATCCATTTTGGGTGCCTGTAGGACGTCTCCCCGCTGGTCCTCCCAGAAGCTCACACAGTTGGCGACAAGTGCGCAGCTGGCAGCCGCCAGTGAGGCGAGTGTGTCCATTTGTTGCACGGGAGCCTGACGATTGCCCCAGGACGCTAAGACGGTCCCAAGGCCCAAGATGCCGCAAGAGAACCCCTTCCATAGCCGTTTTGGCTCAAGCGTGTGGCTCAAAAAGCCTCCTGCCTCCAGCTTCGCCCCCTGCCGAGCGCGCCGAAGCAGACGCCATGGGAACCGGCGCGTCAGCGGGATGCACGGTGAGTATCAAGGCGGCCTCTGATGAGGAATTGAAAAAACTTCTGAAGGAGATGCCCGAGGAGGCGCGCGCCAAATTGGGCCGCTGCCTCGCAGACGCAGCCGCGGCCAAGGCAGCCCCGATGGCGCAGGAGATGCAGTGCTCCGTGCGTGGAAGGCGCAAGGCGGCCCACCAGAAGCACCCGAAGAGGGCCCAGGCTCCGAAGGCCGTCGACTTCGGCAACTCCGATGCCGGGAAGTGGACGTTCACGAGCATCGAGTACGACGGCGGATACGGCATCATCGGGGGGACGCCGGTGACCGTCGAGAAGACGGGGCCGATCAAGGAGGGCATGGAGCTGCTCAAGTCGAACCCGCAGAAGTACCTCGCGCTGATGCACCAGACGAACATGCTCGAGTGGCCCGGCGACCAGCAGCAGTACACGCTCGTGGAGCGCAGGAAGCAGCGTCTTGTCGTGACGCCCACGGCGGGCGGCGGCTTCACCTACGTCGAGGGCAAGTACCAGTGCCTGCCGGACGTGAAGGTGCACCCCGACCAGTACACGGATAGCCTGGCGTACCAGGGCCAGAAATGCTCCGGCGGCAAGCAGCCGGGCCGCGGGCAGGGCGTCGCGGACGTGCCGACCCTGAACGTCATCAGGGACGTGGACCCGAACGACGTGCTGCAGGGCAGCGTGGGCGACTGCTGGCTCCTCTCGGCCATGTCTGCCCTGGCGGAGTTCGGCGGCGGCGTCAAGACGCTCTTCCGGAAGACGCCTGGCATCGAGAACATGCCGGGCGAGGGCGAGAACAAGTACATCGTGACGTTGTACGACCTCAAGACGTGGAAGCCCGTCGACATCGAGATCGATGAGCGCCTGGCAGGAAACACCAGCGGCAACGGACTGCAGGGCTGCGCCCCGAGCCACTCCGGAGATCTGTGGGCGCCCTACGTCGAGAAGGCAGTCGCCATCCACTGCGGCGGCTGGGACAAGATCGATGGGGGACAGTGCACGCACGCCTGGCGCATGCTCACAGGCTGCAAGGAACAGTACACGTTCATGCCCGACGCCTCGGGCATGTACGGCTGCTTCGGCGCCTGGAACCCGAACGAGAACCGGTACGAGGAGCTCGCCAACTCGCCTCACGAGGGGTTCCGCGGCCTGTGGCCGATGGCGTGGCCCGAGGTTGGCGGGGGCGGCGACCTCATGCTGAAGATCACCACGGATCAGCTGTTCGAGCGGATGTGCGCGTGGGACGACGAGAATTTCATCATGGGCGCCGGCACCAAGGCCGGCTCCGACACCCAGGACACTGACGGCATCGTGGACGGCCACGCCTACACGATCATCGACTGCGTCGACAACGCTGGCGGGACGGAGTTCGATCTGATCAAGGTGCGCAACCCTTGGGGCCAGGGCGAGTTCAAGTCGGGCATGTGGGACGACGATGGCCCTGGCTGGTCCCAGTACCCGCAGGTCAAGGAGGCGCTGAAACCAGTTGCGGCCGACGACGGGATCTTCTGGGTGGACAAGGAGGAGTTCTTCAAGTACTTCAAGACGATCTATCTGTGTGCGAAGAACATGACTCAGTTCATCGAGAGCTGAAGGGCGAGAGCACAAGAAGCAGGAGGAGGAGGAAGAGGAGGAGGAGGAGGAGGTGGAGGAGGAAGTGGAGGAGGAGGAGGAGGAGACACATAATGAACATGGGGTAGGGAAGAATCTGGTTGGGCCCTGGAGACCCCAGGGGCACCGCGCTCCAGAACAGCGTCCATGGTTTTATCTATGCGCTCCTCTTTTTCAGGAGCAGAGGTGCCCGCTGGTAATCAGTTGACCGTGCTGGCTTGGCCAGCGCTGCTTTAAAGAGTCATCGCGCTGCAGTCTCGATAAAGGTCGCTGCGCAGAGGCGCGCGAATTGCGCGCGCCTCTCGCAGCTCTCCGCCCCAATTTGCTGCGGGCGGGGCCTTCGCTCCAGTCGCGTGACGGCAGCCGCTGCTTCTGTCGGAGAGAAAAATAGATGCCACACACACATATATATATGTATATGTATACGCATCTTTATATCCGACCACCGGATCCCCAGGCCCAGTAGCGGCCCATTTCTCCAAATAACACGCGCGCACGCAACCCACATTAGAGATCAATTCTTGATTGCTTGTGGCATGACGGGCGTCATGTCCCCCCCCCTCTATGACGTAACGCTCCCCCCCCCCGGGGGCTCCGGGCACTGCCGCCGTGCGCATTGGGATTTGCGTAGGTGTCCGCGTAGGAGTCCGCATAGGAGTTTGGTCCGCAGTCGTTGACGTCGTCGTCGTCGTCGTCGTCGTCGCTCGTGGCTCGTGGCTCGTCGCTCGTCGCTCATCGACGTCGTGCGCGCGGATGCGGCTTGAGCCTTTTTTTATATTCCGGGCCGATGACGGCAACCATTTGGGGGGGGTGGAGGGGGTCGATGGCGTCACGCTTCGCGCGAATGCCTAAGAATGACGGAGGACGGGTGGCACCAGCATGTAGGTTGCGATCTGCACCACAACGCCTGTGTACACTTCAGTGCCTGCGTGCACCACAGCGCCTGTGTACACCACACCGCCTATGTACACCACAGCAGCCGCGTGCAACACATCGTCAGTTTGTGCCACCGCGCGCGCGGGCACAACAGCTCTTGTGTACACCAAAGCGCCTGCGTACACCACATCAGCCGAGTGCAACACAGCAGTGTACATCACAATGCATGCGTGCACTGCAGTGCCTGTGTACACCGCATCGCTTGTGTGCACCACAGCAACCGTGCGCAACACAGCACCACTGTTGTATGTAGAATGTTAGAAGGAATCATTATGACAAAATGGTTTGTGGATTCCACCGAAAACGCCCGAAAATAATCTTTATGGACAATGGGGTGCCAGGGGAATCTACAAGTCCTTCCGAGTTCGCACGCATCACAGTAATTCCTCCCATCTGCGTCTTGGAAGCTCCAGCTAAATGGCCGTCCCAGAATCAAGTGGGCCGATTCAATAGACCATTTTGCGGTGCACGCTGAGTTGCGCACGTGCGCTGTAGCGCCAATCCGCACACGACAGGGGGTAAGGAGGAGGAGGAGGAGGAGGAGGAGGAAGAAGAGAAAAAGAAGGAGGAGGAAGAGGAGGAGGCGGTGGAAGTGGAGGAAAAGGGAAGAGGGACAAACGCCGCATTCGATTATCAGTACTTTCCTGGCGTGGTGCTTCCGCAGCAGATCCTCACGTACAGGCTCCTTCGACCTGTCCGATGCACGCAGGCATTGTGGTGTACAATAGCGCTGCGTTGCACGCGGATGCTGTGGTGTAGACAGGCGCTGTGGCATGCACAAGCGCCGCGGTGCACGCAAGCACTGTGGTGTACACAGGCGCTGTCTTGCACATGGCTGCCTCCGGTGTGCACATGTACACCGGCGCTGTAGTGTACGCAAGCACTGCAGTGTACACAGGCGCTGCGTTGCACACGGTTGTTGCGATGTACGCAGGCTTTGTGGTGTACACGCGCGCTGTGGTGCCCCCGAGCGCTGTGGTGTACACAGGCGCAGGGGGGCAGATCGCCACCCACATGCTGCTCGCGTCGTCGTCGTCGTCGTCGTCCTCGTCGCTTGTCGCTCGTCGCGTCGTGCGCGCGGGCGCGGCTGTGGTGCCGGAGCCACACGGCGGGGGGGGGGGCGTTACGTCATACCCCCTCCCCGCCCCCCCCCATGACGCCCGTCATCGCCGAGCGTACAGAAACTCTCTCTTAGCTGAAGAGGGTCCGGGAGCCAGTTTGTTGCTTCGGGGGGTCTTTGTGTGCTTGAAGACGCTTCCAATACGGATCCACAGGATGCCCAGAGGCCGCCAATATGACACAGAATGGCCAGGACGCTCCAAGATGAGTGTAGGACAGTTCCAGCAGACCGCATAGGCCGCCAATATGACACAGGATGGCCAGGACGCTCCAAGATGAGTGTAGGACAGTTCCAGGAGACCGCATAGGCCGCCAATATGACACAGGATGGCCAGGACGCTCCAAGATGAGTGTGGGACAGTTCCAGGAGACCTCATTATGCCTGAGGGGAGACTCGAAATATTGATGATGATTATGATGATGGTGATGCTGCTGCTGATGCTGATGCTGATGCTGCTGATGATGACGATGACGATGTCGATGACGATGACGATGGCGATGACGATGATGGTGATGGTGATGGTGATGATGCTGATGATGATGATGCTGATGATGATGATGATGCTGACGCTGATACTGATGCTGATGCCGCTGATGATGATGTTCATGCTGATGATGGACATGGGCGCACTGAGACCCGGTCCGAACCTGGGAGAGCGGGAGCTGGCAGCGAGCCTGGCATCATGCCTCCGCATACGAATCGTACTCCTCGATGGACATGCTGGTGATGTGGCTGGCATTCAGTATCCAAAGCCCTTCTGGTATCGTCTCCAGCCAGTGGCTCACTTCGTCCTCGAGCCAGCCCGTTGGAGCCATGACGTACTGCGATGTCCTCGTTCTTGAGGGCCTTTTGGATGAGCCCGCGTCCCTCCCAGGTGGGCCCGCCCACGATGACCTTCATCTTCTGCGCGTCGTAGCACTTCTCCAGCCTTTGAGAAACTGATCTCCAGCTCGAGGTCGCCCTTGTCCACTTCTGATTCGATGAGCTCGTCCTCTGGCTGGCACTTGTCGAGGTATGCCTTCAGCTCGCGCTTGGCTGCGCCCCCGATGTCGCAGTGCATCAAACCTTCCAGGGCCGCGAGGCCCATGCTCGCCGCGGGGGATCCGACCTCCTTCATCCTCTGCTTGCCCTCGGCCTCCTGGGTGCGCAGCGTGTCGAGTGTCGCTTTGTAGCCCTCCAGCTCTGCGCTGATCTTCGTGACCATGGGGTGCACGGCTGGCATAGTGGACTGCACGTGTCGATGAATACTGACGTGGCCATGTGTCCCTTGTGCGCCGTCCGGAGGACCAGCTTCAGTACTGACTGGAGTAATGCCGTCACATTCTTGTCCTTGCTGCTCCACGTCTTGGCTGGATGCTCTCCTCTGCGTGTCAGTCGTCCTCTTCGTCGTTGTGGCTTGGCCTTCTTGTGGTCACGCACCTCGCCCTCGCCGCCGCCTATCTCTTCATCTTGAGGCTAGTCGTGCCGGTGGGCTGGCGGCCTCTGGAGCTTGGCTTTGGCTAGCGGTGGGGCTCCCTCCACGAGGGGCTGCGCCGAGCTTGGCCCCAATCCTTGCGAGTCCTGGGAGGAGCCCAGGTGGAGGCGCCACTGTGCTCTCTTCGGTCCTCCTTGCGGCTTGGCATCCACTGGCTTGGTCAATGCATCCTTCTCCACTGCCGCCGCTGCCGCTGCCATCTTCACGTCGAGGGGGTACTGGCACTGAAGGCGTCGCCGCCCCTAGCAGGGAACTGGCAGGTGCTGGTCGTGGCGGTTCTGCTTGTGCTGGCGGGCGCTGGCGAGCTGGTCGAAATCGTCGTGGCCCGGTTGGCGTAGTTCTGGTGCCATGCAGAGCCTGTCGGTGGCTCTTCGAAGCGCTCTTCGAACTCCAATGGTGTCTATGGCTCGCTAGTGTCGTACTGCAGATGGCGCAGGTGCTAAAACTCGTCCTGGCCCTGCGCGGGGGTCTGGGCCCTCTCTGCGCTGAGCCTGTTTGAGCAAGAAGCCCGATGGCGACGGGGGAAGGTGAGAGAAGAGATGTCGCCGTAGTTCAGCAACGTCATGATATGCATGTTGGCATGCGGGACCCAGTTGATATTGTGTAAATGGACATGTGGTGGTTGACGAGGGTGTCCATGAGTGCACATTATGTGTAAGTTCCGCAATTCACCTACCAGATTGCCAAGCACGCCGCAGATGTCGTAGCGCATGTTCAGTTATTTGGGAATGTAGTCTCACATGCTATGCACTTGTTGTCGTACTGTAGTGTCGTAAGTAGCTGTCGATGTCCATGTCCGTCGGTTTTACTTCTTATCTGGTGTGTAAGAAGTTGTCTAACAGTGCTGAATCGCCGGCCGCACCCAGGGAGCTGGCATCTGAGGGGCCTCAGGTACTATCCGTCACTGTTGGCGCGTAGCGCTTGGATATTACACGTGACGACTGCTTCTCCGATCTGCTCGTCGTCTTACAGCTTGCTTAAAGGCAGCGGGCGCCACAGCTCGCACAGGGTCTCGCCCACGGGGTGCGATAAAAGGCACTCGAGGTCGGCAGACAGCTGGCGTGCCCACGGGTGAGCGAGCGTGTCAATCTCGCCCTTCCCGTGGAGGGTGGAGGCTGAAACGGAGCGGTTGCTTTAGGCCGCCTGCAGCTCGAAGGCGCACCCGCCGTATTAAAAAAAGGAATTGGTCATGGTTGGTGGTGGTGTTGGTGGATGAGGTGGGTGAAGAGGAGGAGTAAGAAGATGACGGCCCCCACCTGCCCACTCCCATCACAATGTTAAATGCCGCTTCCTGATTCTCATCCTCACCATTCTTGCTCGATCTCCTCGTCACCATCCTTCTATTAGTGTTCCTCTTCGTTAGCATGCTCCTCGTGATCCTCCTCATCGTCTTCATATTCACATTTCTCCTCTCTCTATCTCCCTCCTCGTCCTCCATCATCCTTTGTACCCCTCTCCTTGTCTTCCTCCCTCGTCGTTCCTCCATCATCGTGTTTTGGCAATCCTGCTCCCCCCCCCTTCCCCCCCATCCCCACCTTGCCATGTGGAGAGCGCGGGGGCGGGGGGGGGGATATAGCACCTGGCGGAAACATACGCTTACAAGTACGTTCAGGTTTGTATTTTCGCGCAGCCCTCACCCTGACCCGAATGCTGGTTCGGCTCCCTGCTAATTCGGGCCAGGTCCTGCTTCGGTGCCATACCGTAGGATCCAAGACAGGTAGAGCCTGGGCGCGCACCAAGCGCGCGATCGTTCTACCTGTCTTGCATCCTACTGAGAAGTATGTACTGTTCGCAGGCGTTGCGTTACTCTTTCCATACACCCCCTGCCAGTCCACATACATATGCTGCGCGCATGGATTATGTCAGATTGAGGGGGCCGAGCCGTCATTCATTGTCCCTGGGTGCGTGGCTGAAGTGGGGATCCGTGGTGGGGAGTCTGCTTGTTGTTCTTGTTGTTGAATTCTCATTTCTGAAGAATAATTAATGTTGATCCCCTTTTGCCAGTGCGTATTGTTTTTCTCCATCAAAGTGTGCCCTTCGACGCACGTACCTTGTTTTTTGGTAGGGGAAGTCTTCGTGCTCAAACTGGGCCCTTGCCCCCCGAATTACAACAAGGCTCCCGCTTTAGACTTCCTCCAAATTTACTCAGGATCCCCGCTCCTGATACTTTCTTACAATATACTCAGGATCGGTGCCCCCGCCTGTGACTTCCTCGCAATTTAGTCAGGACCCCACTCCCATCTGAGACTTCTTCACAATTTACTCAGAACCGGCGCTCCCGCTGGAGACTTCCTCGCAATTGAGTCAAGACTTCCTCGCCATTTAATCAAGACCCCCGCTCCCGCCAGAGAACCCCTCACATTTTATTCAGGACTTGCGCTCTCGCCTGTGATTTTTATGCAATGTATTCAGAATCGCGCTTTCGACGCTCAGGAAACGCGCTGCGCCAAGGACGCCGTTACAATTTACTTAGAATCGCTCTCTCGCAATACTCAGACATCCCGCTTGAATGTCCCACCCGCCCGACACGCCCGTCAGGGGATCGCCCGCCGGTCGTTGGCTCCCGCCCGAGACTTCCTTCAGGAACAGCGCTTTCGCCGAGGACTTCCTCGAACGTTCACGCTCTTACCTTCCTGCCCCTCCCCCTCCCCTCGCCTGCCTCCTCCCTCTTTCTTTCCCTCTCTCTTTCCCCTCTCTCTCTCTCTCTTTTTCTCTGCCTCTCTTATTTGTTTGTTTCTCTCTCTCTCTCTCTCTTTCTATATATCTCTCTCTCTCTCTCTCTCTCTTTCTGCCTCTAATCAACCGCCCCCTCTTCGCTCCTTCTCTCCTGGCGTTTTCCCTTTCCTTCGTCCCTCCCCCTCCCTTCCTCCCACTCTCCCTCGTTCTCCCCTTTCCTCTTTTTGTAGGGCCCACACCAATTCCAATGGCGGGCACATGTACGACCACGAAGGATAGTCCGCCCGTTCAGGTTTGCCCACCTGTCTAAGCCCGCCGCCCCCTGCAAAGAGAAAACGTCCCCTCAAAGGGGGTGTGATCGAAGACAAAAAGGGCGGGTATCGAGGGTGCGGGGAACTCGTTTTGAATGACACACGGGCAAGTAAGAGCGAACAGTCTTATAATGATTGTTGGTGTTGTCGTCGTCCCCCCGCGACCCGCCCCGCGACCCACCCCTCGACCCACCCCGCGAACCAACCCGCGACCCACTCCGCGACCCTCCCCGCGACCCACCCCGCGACCCACCCCGTGACGTGCCCGCGACCCACCCCGCGAACCACCCCGCGACCCACCTCGCGACCCACCCGCGACCCACTCCGAGACCCCGCGAACTCTCTGCGACCCACCCCGCGACCCACCCGCGACCCACCCCGCGACCCGCCCCGAGACCACCCGCGGCCCACCCCGCGCCCACCCCCCGCGGCCCATCCCGCGACCCACCTCGCGACCCACCCCGTGACCTGCCCGCGCGACCCACCCGCGACCCACCCCGCGACCCACCTGCGACCCACCCCGAGACCCACCCCGCGACCCTCCCGCGACCCACCCCACGACCCACCCCGCGACCACCCCGACCCACCCCGCGACCCACCCCACCCCGTGACCTGCCCGCAACCCACCCCGCGACCGACCCCGAGACCCACCCGACCCTCCCGCGACCCACCCCGCGACCCCACCCCGCGACCCTTCCTGCGACCCACCCGCGGCCCACCCCGCGACCCACCCCGCGACCCGACCCACCCACCGACCTGCCCGACCACCCCGACCCACCCCGCGACCCACCCCGCGACCCACCCGCGACCCATACGCGACCCACCGAGCGACCCATCCGCGACCCAGCCTGCGACCCACCCCGCGTCCCACCTCGCGACCAACCCGCGACCCACCCCGCGATCCACTCACATTGCTTCAACGAGAAAATCGGCGCCTGCGGCGGGCTCACTACAAACGAATGTAAAAGTTAGGCGCTTGCGGCGGGCTTCTTCAGAGCCTCGCAGACTGGCGACGTCCTCGCTGCCCCCTCACTCTTATCCGCAATTGCGGGGTGCGACGTATATGTCCCTGCCTCTCTCTCTCTGTCTTTGTGTCTCTTCCTCTCTTTTTCTCTCTTTGAATGCGTCCTCTTGTCCATCTCCTTGTCCACGCACCATACACACCAATGCATCACACCTTCGCGCGCTCCATCCTGCAAAAGTGTCGATTCCACCACCCCGAGCGGTCGCGGATCTGTGCAGAGCGTTGTCATTGTGTTGATGAGCTAGGCTGGAATTTGATCCAGAACGTTCAGCCGATCTTTATTGCGTTTCCCAGAGATCAGATGTTTTGATTTTCTTATGAAGGGGTCCCCAGAAGTCTCGACCCACTTCCACGGACCGGCTCTTCATCGTTAGCCGTTTTTGTTATCGTCTTGGGGCCCGGCGAGGGCCTTTGGAGGCTGAAAGCGGTGAGCAAACAATGTACATATGTTTCAAAATATCTGGATCTCTACCTGCATCGACCGTTTCCTTATTCGTTGTTTTGCCGATCGGCGCGGGCCTTCGCACCCCTTCCCCACCCAATGGAGTAGATCTTGGCAGTTTTGGGCGCCTGTTTCAAGCTTGTGGAGTCTCTCCCATAGAACGCACTGTTGCTAGCAGTCGCATTCAGCAGAAATCCAGAGCCGGACCCCCCCCGCTTCCGCCGAATGTCGAAGCGCTAAATATGAAAACGCCAACATCCGCAATGCTTTGTGGGGCTGTTGGCGTGGTGGCCCCAGTCCGCTCCGGCTCTTTTTCCGCACGGGCATCTTCCCGCCCTGCCCTTCCCCGCCGCAGACCCGGAGCCGCTGCGAGGCTGGCGCCGTGGAGATGGCGGCCGGACAGGCGGCATGCTTAAGGGGAGGCAGGAGACTTCGAATACAGTTCTGCGCGAACGAAATGGGCACGGAAAGATTGGGTACAATGCCCAAAAGCGGATCCTGTTCATTTTGAACAGGACTCGCTGTCCACACCGCCGCGGCCTGTGCCCATTCTAGACAGAAGTCCGCCTGCCCAACAGCGGCCGCTGTTGGTTTCGGACAACATTTGTTGTTGGGCATTGTGCCCATTCTTTCCGTGCCCATTCCGGGCGTCCAGAACAGCCCCAGACCCCCTCGCGTTTTGACAAAAATCACGACGGGAGATTTTCATTATTTTCAGCCTCTGGGGGCCCTCACGGGGCCCCAGAAACGTCAAAAGCGACTCCGGACGAAAAACCGGTCCCAGGGAAGGGGTCCAGACCTCTGGGGGTCGGCGTTGTGAAAGAATCACGGCGTCGGGGTTCTGGGGCTGGCCCGAGGGTTAAGAGCAATCCTAGCCTTCGAGGGGGCCCCTTCGGTTCTTCCTGCTTGTGCTCTCCACCTTGGAGTGTCCTTCGTATTGGGCCCCAGGCCGTCGGCGAAGGGGTGATGTGTTCTTGGTCCACGTTCTTATGACCACCTCGTCAACGTGATTTCTCGGAGTTCCGGACGGATCACTTGGATCCGCGCTGTGGCCCCCTGGCGGCGCCTCCGGTGCCGCCCCTGGCGCGCTCCGCTCGCCAAGGAGGGGAGTCCAGCGCCAGTGCAAGAAATTCGCGCGAACCTCCGAGTAGTTATGTCTATGGCAGGAGGCAGGAGGCTGCGGGTAGTTTTGCAGAGGGAGCAGAGACGGAGAAAGCGAAGGATGAAGACCCAGGGAAACGTCGGAGGTCTCGCAGGGGGCGAGGCAGGGGCGAACAGTGTCTACGATGACGATGATGCCTCGAAGGAGTGGCAGGAACAGGAGGCGATGCAGGTGGACGAGGCTGAGGAGGAGCCAGGGGAGGACACTGGGCCCTGAGAGGCCGGCGCGGAGATCCGAAGGGCGAGGTTGGCGGGATGCGGCGGGCCCATGGAGTGCTGCTCCGCGTTTCCGCCTGTGGCCCTCCTGGGACCACTTTGGGAGGTGTGCGTTGGACGCTTCGTCCCCCCCCCGTAAGTGGAGCGCCCGGCCAGCCGGACACGGGCAGCAGCAGGAAGAGGAGGAGGAGGAGGAGGAATTTTTGAGGAGAGATACGTGGACAGCTATCTCCACCCACAGATCGGCATGTGTACGCACAGAGGGGCATGCATCAGAGACCAGGGGGCGAGACCAACAAGTGAAACGGTTTCGGTTATGTTCGGGTCGTGCGTGCGGGCGAGGCGAAGCTGAGCGTGCGGGGGCATGGCTCGCCGACCGCAGGTAAGGGCAATTTCTATTACCAATGTTCCCTACTTTGGCAGTGGCGGGTTGTGCCGTGCCGTTGTCTCGTGCGGTCGATCTTTGCTTCTGACAGGTGCAGTGATCCAGTGGTTGTCCTGCGGTCTCCCGCGGTCGTTTTGTGGTAAGTAGTCCCGCGGTTGTCCCGTGCGGTGGTCCGGCTGATGTCCGCGGTTGTCCGGTGAGCTGATTGCAAAATTGTTCGGATGGTCGTGAGATCTTTATGAAGATGCTTGCGGCAAACTCCGCCGCCGTACCTGTGCAACAGCGATGCAGGAATGGTCGGGTAAGGACGGGCCGTGAACTCGACCTCATCTTTGTCCGCGCAGTTGGAGCCTTCGGGGGGCCTCGTGGGCGCCTGCTGCGGGGCCTCTTGGTGGTCTCTTGGGGGCCTCTTGGGGGCCTCTTAGGGCCTGTTGTGTTGTTTTAGGGAGGCGATTGGCTCGTCGGACGCATTCGGCGTCCGTCGTGGGGGCCTCTCTGGGGTGTCTAGGGCCGTCTTGGAGCCCCCCTGGGAACCTCTTTGGGCGATCGTGAGGTATGTACTCTTGGGCCGACACGGGGCTTGAGTGCCTCATGGGCTGTCTTGGAGCCATCTTGGGAGTCCCTTGGACGGCCAGCAATCCGAATAGGCAAGAACTTCAAAATCCCATCAAAAACCATTGGACAAGCAATGTTGTTTGCCTGCTCGGGCTTTACTAGAGGCCCCCTTGGAGGCCCTCTTGGGGCCTCGTGCTCAGTCTTGAGGCCGTCTTCAAGGCCTCTTGAGCCGTCTTGCGCCATCCGGATCCGTTCTGGTGTCGTCTTGGCTGTCTGAGAAGCCGTCCTGGAGGCCATCTTGGCTTTCCCGAGGCCGAACACCGTTCGAGAGCAATTTCAGGAGAGGTGGTCTCAAGACGCCGCGTGTGCCAGGAGGGGGAATAGAGCCCTAGACAACATGAAAAAAACCTCCCAGGCAACAGACGAACATTATGGCATGCCCACTCCGTGCAGCATGGTGGCGGAGTGTTGTAGTTCGCTGTGTCGATATTGGCATACGTCGTCAGTTGGATCGGTAGAGCGATTGTTCGCTAGATTTTGGAACACCTGCGTTAGCGCCCATCTTTGGGCTGCTGGTAAGATCACTCTGTGTTTGTTTCTGCATTCCGATCTTCAGTTGCACAATCTGCGTTGCGTCGTGCATTCTATCAGCCCATCCAGAAACGATCACCTGGCGAATTGCCTGCTCAGGGAAGTGTAGGAACATCTGCTCGATCAGAGACAGGGTGGCAGCCATCATAACGAAGCTCAGGATCAGCCTGAGCGTATCCAAGAGTGGAACTGCTGAGCTTGCCGTTGAAACGGAAGGAGGAGGCTGAGGAGGAAGTGGAGAAGGAAAAGGTCGAGGAAGGATGAGGCTCTCGGGCCTTGCGAATAATACAACATAGCTTGCGCATGTTACAGAAGCCTTTACGTAGAATGCCTCATCGAGGACGTGTGGAGCCATCTTTGGGGCAGCTTTTATGGCGTCGATCTAAACAATGGCGGAGTCCTGAAAGCCCCTTGCCGCGGCAGCGCCCGAACCATCGTTTCTCGGAGCCCTGTGTGATGGCTCTTAGGCGCTCTTGGTTTCGTTTTGTAGCCTTCATGGTTCCTTCTCGAGGTTCTCTCCGGAAATTCTGATACATGTTTTAATACACGCACTTTTATCTAGCTTGTACCCCCCTACCTGGGCCGTCCCCTTTGCTCCCTCTCCCCCTCTCGCTCTCTCGCGCGCTAAAGTTTCGGCTCGAAGGGTTGAGAGAGTTTCAGCGAGCTTCATCACCCTTGCGAGCCCAGCACCGCGGGTGGCGGGCGGGCACCGCCCTGTAGGAGCCATTCGGTTCCAGTGGTACTTCCTGGCGGGCCTGCTGGGGTGGCAGGCGAACGACGTCGGCGAAGAGGGCCAAGCGGTCTTCAACGCCGTGACCGCCGCGGGTCTAGACGAGTTCGACGCGTACTTCGACGACTCCGCCGTCGAGGACGGCAGCATCCGAGGGACCAAGGCGGGCGTGATGGCCCCCTGGGCGCGATGGAATCGGGTGTACTACAAGACAGATGGCGGGTCAGGTGTTTGTATGCTTCTCATCAGCAAAGTGGGGAATGCATCTTCGACGGTATGGACAGCGTGCGATCCGAAGCTACGTGTGCTGATGATCAACCTCCGAGACAGGTCCAAGGTCTTCACGAAGCCGAGCAACCAGTACACTTGGACAGAGCACCCAGGGCTCACGAGCTCAGGTCGTGACAAAGTGATTGCAACCAGTGAGAAGTTGATCGCACGAAAGGAGATGGACGAGGTTGATGCCAAGGTCAAGGGAGCCCCTAAGGCGAAAGTTCCGCCGAAGGGGAAGAGGAGCTCGAAGAAGGACAACTTCCTCAGGTGGGTGCTCGGTGGAATGGTGAATGTGGGGGGGCTACTTCTGGCTCAATCGTCTTGGAGGCTCGGCCGTGGCAGCGGCTTTTATCGGCTGGCGCGTGTGGAAGTCTTTTTGGGCTGGGTGCATTCTTCACGAAGGCGTACGAGACGATTGAGAGCATACGCGAGGCGACGGAGCAGGCTCAATCCTGGTACGAGGCGGTCGTCGACATGTGGGAGACGGGCGAGATGGAGTCCATCCACACGGGGGTCGGGACCGTCGCGGCGGGCATCTACCTTTCTTGGAAGGGATATCGTACCACGACCGACGGTTCGGAAGCGCGTAGTGCTTCAGACTCAGACGGTGAAGTGATCGCAGGGGCGCAAGTCCCAGATTCCGATGATGAACCAGATGCGCGACATCTCTTTGCGGAGCTTTCACGGGGTCAGCAGCATCTACAACATAGCATCGCTACCTTGGCCGACGTTCTCTCCAGTACGAGTAAGGGTGATCAGCCCAGCACGCCGAGGAAGAAGCTCGCCTTTGCGGAGTCGACGCCCGAGGCCTCGGGGCCAGCGGCGCCGTCGGCTTCTGAGGTAGATCAGTTTCTCGCGAAGCTGGCTGGGCATGAGGAGGTCGCGCAGGCTGACTCATCGAGGGCGACGAAAGGGGGTTCGAGTACGCCTACGTTGCAGGCCTCCTGGGAGAGGGTGTCGAGTCCGAGTGACTCCTCAGTCAAAGAGACGCTCGACCAGTTGATATAGGAAGCGAACCCAAGCAGGCCCTCTTGGCGACGCTCAAGAGCTACAAGGACGTCGGTGGCGCGCGGACCGGGGGCGTGAAGGCCAGGGTCGCACCGAACATCTTGGCGGGGCTCTACAAGCACGGGCGCTCGGCTCAGACGGAGATCGCGCGGTGGTTGAAGGATAAGGAGCTGACCAAGTGCTCGATTGCGAGCGAGGTTACGATGCTCGCGGCCGTGCTGGACAGGATGATGACGAGCGGGGGGTGCGACGCGTTGATAAATTCGCAGGCGTCGGAGCTGACGTGCTTGCGGCTGTATTTGGTCTTCAAGGACGCGGAGACGGAGAGCGACTGGAAGAGGCCGAGGAACTCGAACGAGAGCAAATGGAAGAGCAAAGTCAACTGGAGCTACGGGGGGGAGTTCTTGAAGATCAATGACGGGGGACACGCGTCCGTCGAAGCTGCAGATGACGAGGTTGCCGAACGTTTGAGGAAGAGGGCCAC